TAGATAGATAGATAGATAGATAGATAGATAGATAGATAGATAGATAGTAGTACTAAGCAATAGCAAGTAGTAGTAAGATGTAGTAAGTAAGTAGTAAGTAAGTAGTAAGCAGTAAGCAGTAAGTAGTAATGAGTAAGGACTAAGGAGTAAGGAGTAAGTAGTAGTAGTAGTAGTTGTTGTTGTTGTAGCTGTAGTAGTAGTAGTAGTAGTAGTCGTAGTAGTAGTAGTAGTAAGTCGTAGTAAATAGTAACATGTAGTCGTAAGCAGTAGTAAGTAAGTAAGTAAGTAAGTAAGTAAGTAATTGAGTGAGTGAGTTAGTGAGTGAGTGAGTGAATGAGTGAGTGAGTGAGTAAGTAAGTAGTAGGAAGTAGGAAGTAGCAAGTAGCAAGTTGTAATTAGGAAGTCGTCGTCGTCGTCGCCGTGGTGGTGGTGGTGGTGGTGGTAGTAGTAGTAGTAGTAGTAGGATGTTGTAGTAGCAGCAGCAGGATTTGTAGCAGCAGCAGCAGTAGTAGCAGCAACAGCAGAAAGAACATCTTTAGCCATATCTTTTGCCAAACAAACATACTTTCGCCAACTCGAGAAAAACTTTCGCCAGATGAAATTTTGACATGTTCCAGGGTCATCGTCATCAACAATCCCTATTAGGACCTTTAGATCGACAACCATATATATGACTCTCTCTCTCTCTGTCATTAAGAATCCACGGATCAAATTTGGCAGATTCAAGGCTTCTCAATCAAAGCCGGAACGAGAGCCGCCAATGGCTCCGACGCCAATGGACACCCAAAGGGCCGTCAGAAAGAAATCGATTTGCAAATGATCCGGGGGTTCCTCAAAAACTGAGACTGCCACGTTCGCCGATGGCCTCTGATTTCGCTGGCGTCAGAGAGGCCACCCACGGAGAAGCGGTAGAACTTGCGCTCCTTGGGGGTGTGTCCGGCTGTGTGTGTCAGGTAATGGCCTCCAACCTACTTGCGATGGCCTCCACCCTAGTAGCTTCTTGCAATTTATACTAGTTTCAAGTTCTTTCAGTTCAATTAGACGCAATGGGCCGTCTCTTTGTCACTCTTCGTCTCGCTCTGTGCTTGGGGGCCGGCGAGAGCTCGCGCGATACTTTTGCTGATGGAAGTCTTTCCAACCTCAGCCCAAGAACTGGGCTAATACAGCTTTTAGGACAAAAGCATGCAAAAGCAGGATCCAAAGGTATCCAACACGTTGGCCTTCTATGGCCTCCTCACGTGTCGCAAGACCTATATATAGAATTTGTTTTGCAATCCATAAGAAGCTGGGGGCTGTGCACCTGGAGGGCCGACGAGGCACATGATCTTCCCTTGTGTTGACTCCTGCATGGACAAACAGCCTCAATGAGTGCAAGAAACGAGTCCTGTTGGAGAAACGAGTCGGTTCTTCTGCCTCGTGTTTCTCTCCTTTGACATGCCTCTGGACCGACCGTGGAAGAAGGAGAGACACGTTCGGCAGTTCGGGATGGATGCATAAAAAAGCACGCTTTCAATTCTCGTCCTGCAGAAAGTTCACCGCGATGTGCTCCAAGATTCGTTCCTTTACATCTTCCAAGCCATAGTGATCCTCGTTGAGGATCTTCTCTGCCTTGCCAATGTCCCTGTTCTCCTGCATCTCCCGAACGCTTTCGGCTACCAGCCCAGATCTCCCAAGCGAGCCTGAGTGGTTTGACCCCATGGAAGGCATGTCAGCCACTCCTGGCAGGTCAGACCCAAGTGGGCTAAGATGTGCAAAGGTTCCGGTGGATTGTTCAGCCTGTGCCTTTAAAAGCAAAAGCCACAGCAACAAAAGGCATCAGTGTCACTGAAAGCCACTTGCAGCTGAGACACCAAGTAAGACCGACATACATTGAACTCTGAGGACGATGGCTCTAGCCTCTGTCACGGCTTGGTGCCACAAGTTTGTCAGGCTCACAAATTTAGTCTCTGAGCTGTTGTAAGCTTTCTGGCTGGCTCAGCTTCGCAATCTCCTCATCAATGACCTGCCAAGCATCATCAAGGTGTGCAGCCCGCAGGATATAATGCATCCTTTCAATGCAGGTTCTGAACCTTCTTGACCTCCTCTGGAACGGTCTTATCTTTGATCGCGTCTGTGAACCTCAGTCGCACAATCAGAACTTTGCATTATCGAGCACTATCACGCATTTTCGGCATTTGCTCACCGTCATGGGTTGTTCGCTCGTCCATCACAAACCCAACCAACTCGTCAGCCCAGGTCTCAAGCTGCAAGACCAAAGCTTCTTTCTCATCCCGCCTTGGCACATGTTGCATCCCGCAGGGTGGGCCCAATTCGCCCTGTTCGTCGACACGCGATTGTCACAGCCCTAAGGCTCTAGCTCAATACCTAGCTCCTGCGACAGTCGCAAATGGCATCAAGGTGGCTTCAAACCGTGCAAATCTCGGGTTCGTGCCCATAAACTAGGTATGACAGCCTGTGGCAAGCTTTGCGCTGCACGCTCTGTTTCTGGTCTGCCCTCTACAAATGGTCCAGAGCTTCCAAAATGCGGTCTACCTGGCAGAAGAACGGTCAATTTTTGGGGCAAGAAATCTACATGTATCGCTGAACCGCAACCGCAATTCAATCCCAGTCCACCTCCTCTAAGGTGTTGTAATGAAGCAACCCTAAGCCTCATTTGCAATCTGAAGCGTCATGCACGAGTCCAGTTGCCATGGGGGAATGGATTTCAGCAAATGGTTTGGCGTGCTGGTATTATTATAAAATAAATGCAATAAATAATATGATGGTGTATGATAGGGAAAAATCAAATGTTTCAATGATCTGATTTGAACATCGGTGGTGCAGGCTTTCTGCTTTTACTGTACCATTACCATCGCGAGCAAGACCCATATGATATGACCACCCTCTGGCACAAAGGAAGGTGTGGAATGGCTTGCTGCGGCCTAGAGACGCGTCATGCCCTCGGCTGTGGCACCATGTTTCTCCCAGAAAGAAGCGTAGTGGTTGCCAGCAGTGCACCAAATGCCCCTAGTCCGCAGTCACCAGAATAAACAAAGCTGGCGTGTTCCAAGTTCCAAGTGACCAGAAAAAGTCGCACTGTCGGGGAAAACATGGGAACACTGCTTGATTGAACTATTCCAACTACGATTGGGTATGGCATGGAAAAGTTGGAAAATGCGGAGAGCGACCACCAGAAGTAGAACTCGCCTCTCGCACAGCTTGTCTGCAAGTTCCTGATGCCCACAACCAACCAGTTCTAAGCCGTCTCTTGACTTGATGGGCCACAAGCAGAGTACCTCTTTTGAACCACCAGCAGTACATCTTCCATCTTATCTTTTCTGCCGCAAAGACACTCAAACACAAACACACTCACACGCACTAGCCGCTGTCCTGTGCAGCAAGCCCCCTCTTGGCCACAGCAAAAGTTGACGTGCGATGTTGCACCTTGCTACTCAGCTGAACAGCCAAAGTGCTTCCTATGCAAAGATCCACTAGAACTGATCAAAGGCAAGCGTTACAGGATAAATGACATATATATTATATATAACTGCAGGAGAATTCAATATTTCTGCAGAAACGGGTAATACAATGCGAGAAGGTATTCAGAAGGTGCTGACCTTAAGACTTTTCATGCACAAGGGTCGAAAAGGCAATCAATAAAGACATTGAATGGTTCTGGTTCGTAATCTGGAACTCTGTGGATTGCTAGTGCCAAGCAAAGCCGTGTGACATCTTCAGGATCTGCAACACCCAGCCTCAGAAATACAAGAGACCAGCTATCATGTCTTATTAAATTTCAGTTTCTGCATTCCCGTTCCGATTCGCAAGTCATTGGGACCTGTGGGCTTACATAGCAGGTGTGCAAGTACAAGATTCAATTCCTGTTGCCAATGAACTTGCCCAAGGTGGTTCCTTTCTTCCGGCAACAAACAACTTGTTGCCTGAAGAAAGGCCCTAAGCAAACCAGCATCGGCGACTTCACCCAAGAGAAACCATCATGATTCAAGAGTGAGCGATTCGGTGCGATACGGCCGCGACACGTTGTGGCAATCAACGGCAGTTTCCATTTTCATGTTAACGTCCCTAAGGGGGCATTGTGTTCGCTTGCAAGAACTAAGCTGGGGCCACTGACACTTGCATGTTTGGCATGCTTCGTAGGCCTTCCTCGGCTGCTTTGGCCGACGAAAAGCCGTCACATACTCTTCATCAGCTTGTTGACATTACTGGCAGAGGAAGGTACAACATCCTGGTGTATGGAGATGTATAATATAAAAGAACCAAATTCTGAAACTGTATGCCAAAGATGCGAGCATTCGACGTTTCAACTCGTTTTCGTGCGCGCAAATAGCATGAAAACCTGTCACCGCGAATTGGTCGCACAAGCAGCAACAATAGTCATTGTCAAGCCGGTGATGCAACATTTAGCATGCTTGACAATCAATCTATCCTTCTATAGATTCTCTCAGGCACTCTTTCTCCCTGCTGACTTCACAAGCCTTTGGCCTCTTATGTTCAAAGTGCCTTATCTTACAGGATCTCTGGGGCCTGGGGTATGGGCACGTCAATGTATACATGTCCATTGGTCATTGGGGCATATCATGCATTAAATTGATATATCAAATGGTCCTATCTATTCAAGCGCACCCAGACTTCTCCAAATGTGACATGGATTGACATGGCCTGTCTCGATGCGTTCGGTCATGGTGGCACCCCTCGCTCCCCCAAAGCGATCGCCCAGCTCTGCGAAATACTTCACAGCCTCGGCTAAAAAAATCCGGCTGTGTGCCTGTGTGCGGGGGAGTGCGTAGAACAGCACAAATGCACGCTGCAGTGTTGGTAAAACAGTCTGATGAGATGTGATGAGGGCATTTCTGAGCGTCCTGCTGCCGTGATACCGGCAAGGGCCTGGTGGTGCATGGATTGGAAACGCACAAACATGTCTATAGTGTGTGCCGTTGATATTGGGAAACAACTGCCATCCACAGTATATACGTTGACTGGGATGCATGGTCGGACCACATGGTCGGAATCCCATCACAACTGCAACAACCTCGAGCCTCATAGTTCTGCGTGCCCAACTCCCAGCGGGACATGTTGCCGTTCTCAATGCTTGGCAAGGAGTTGTCTGAACAGTCCTCAGCTCTAAAACATCTCTGTGAGCAAATCCGACGCAGGTCTGGCAATTGAGGACATCCGTTTGGAATAGTATTTTAGGCTAGTCAGAATCACAATGCAGTCTAGATTGTAAAAAAGCCAGGATGCAGGACATCTCCCACGGCATCCAAGGCCCGAGATGGCCCAACATGCCCAACTCCCTATTTCTGATTACGCCTGGCTAGACTCAAGTCATTGAGACCGATCCCGTTTCAGAAGAAGAGTGCGCCGTCAGTGCAGCTGCGGTAGTGGTTTCAGAGTAGATCCCCAAAGGTGGTGTATATTATGGACCTCCATTGCAAAGACATCTTGGGGTGCCAGCGCCATCTATTCCGAAATCACTGTGCATGTCCGTCTTTCTGTAGTCGGATCAGGGAGAGTTCCTCGCCGAGTGGGGAAGCTGAGCTGAGTGCACCCGCCGAGACTCCAAGCGATCAGCTGGAAGGGATTCCAAGGTAGCTCGTCTCCCGTAGAGGACACCTCATGTGGCTCAATCCCTGAACTTTTGAACCATGGCCAAACAGATCCAACCTTTCTGGCACTCAAACCTTGGTCAAGTCTATCCGGCATCGAAATATCATAACATATCCGCCCATCCGTTGCTGCTGTCTCTCATGATGACAAAACAATCCACAAGACTCACCCGGCCAAGACGGGGAGTGCCTGCATGGGGACCAAAGAACTTGTAGGGAGAGCATGCCAGAAAGTCGCAGCCGATGCTTTGCACGTCTAAATGACCATGAGGAGCATAGTGAACAGCCTCGGAGTCGAGTGGAGCCGTCGAGCTGGCTGGGGTCATTACAGCCGCAGTCTTTTTTCAAACCGACCTTCCTCTCTGCAATCAGCCCGTCTCTCTCAACTCTCCTCCACATTTTCCGATCAAATCTCTCTCTCTGTCTCTCCCTATCCGTGACAAGGTGACAAGCTTAGTCAAGTGATGTCGAGAGACATCGACAAAAGTCCAGGCATTTCCATTGGAAAGGTCACGAGCTCTCTGACACAGGCTGGTGATGTCATGCGCAGTTCCCACGCCGTTGGAGGCAGCACCCATGGCCACCAAACGTGTTCGATGGTCTACCACGGCTCCGACAGCGTCCGGGCTTCCGTCCAAGGCACAGCGAGAAAGGTCCTGGATACATCTGACATCACCCTCAAAGCTCCCTTTCGATCCGTGCAGTCATGGCACCCTGCATCTATGACACTCTTAATGGGTCTAGTAACGTTGGTATTTGTAACATTGTAAGGTGCTCCTGAGTCAACAAATGAGCATATCTTTGCATGGCCGTGCAACTAACAAATCTCCTGCCTGTTCATCACATGTTCTAGGCTCTTACAGCCATTGTCCTGGTGAGTAGGTAGCCACCGAATTTCGACCCCATTGGACTTGGCCAATTGGACCCAGGGCCAAACGTTGGCACCGTGACTGATGGGATCCAGAACAATGTTGTCTCCAGCTGCAAACGCTACGCCATTCCTTGGATTCGATGTGCTACTTAGAATGGCAACCATGGGCTTTTCCTTTGCATTTTCGGTTGTGACATGTAATTAGTATACGTAGTATTAGATACTTAAAACTTAATTAGTATATCGTGTTGGTGAATCGTGTGCCTCACAACGACTTTCAGAGTAGTTTTTATTGGTCATCATTGGTCATCAATTTGTGAAGTGCCCAGCTGTGCCACAAAAGCTCTGAGAAGTCTGTCACCAAGCTGCCGGAAAGCCCGAGACAAATGGTATACCAGGGCTGTCATGCTCGGTCCAAAGGCAATCCTCAGCAGTCCAGGTTAGTAATATAAAAATCTTTCATATGGTAAGGCCAGAATCCTTGTTAAAAAGGTCGAAGAACGTCAAAAAAACAGGAAATGGAAAAGTCAAAGTCAGAAACACAATCAAATTGAAAAGTCAAAAAAAGTCGGGAAAAAACAAGTCAAAAATAGATCACTGCTCGAAAAAGTCAACAAAAAAAGGCAAACAACACACAAAAAAGGAATTGAAAAAGAATCAGTCGGAAAAAAGTCGGAACACGCCGAACAAATGTCAAAATTATAAAACAACTCGAACATGTTAAAAAAGAAAAACACATTGCAATTAACGTCAAAAAAATCTAAAACAAATCAACAATATAAAAACAAAAGTAAAAAAGAAGTCGGATCTGGGCAACTTGATTTTTTTTGACTTTCTGAAACTTTCTGATTTGATTTTTTGACTTTGACTTTTGGGACAGACTTTTTCTTAAACAAATTGAAAACAGGCTCTCTCCAATGAAAGATTTTTATAAGGTTAGTAAACCTCTCAAGGCCTGAACCTCTTCTTGGGCTGGGAATTGCAACAACTCAAGTTCAAGTTCAAGTCCCAATTTTAAATCAGATTCCCAACATTGGCATCTGGAACCCCTGTCTTTCAATTCCATGTGCCCCGTAAGTTTCCAATCACAGCTGCCCCTTCTTTATCTCAAGGTCCAAGGGTGTCCAAGGTGTCTCTTCTCAGTCTGTCCTGTCCTCTCCGGTCCCGTTCCACCGAGTATCTCTTCCTTTGCACAGTTCAGGAAATGCGCCATGGCACTGCGTGCGCTGGCCACTGCTTGTTCCGCACGGCGGCTGGAGTCATAGCTGCCGCCGATGTTCGCTGTGCCAAAACGAAGCTGCTCCATCATGGCTTCCAACACACTCCTGCGGCCACGGGCGGCCAAGCAACAGTCATGAGATTTTCATTGATGTTCACCACCCTTGCAAGCTACGCTTAAACAATCTAGCAGCAAGTAGAGCTAATTCATCCAAACTTCCTCCATCACTGGTCATAAAGTTAGAGTCACAGCCAAAGCTGAGCCAAAACCATTCAAAAACAAAAAGGATCAAAAAGGCATGCAATGGTTTCATACATGCTCAATCATGTTCACTTTAGTGCATCCTCCGAAGCGAGAGGCTTCCTGATGCAGAACTCTGAAAAAATAGGACATCTTAACTTGTCCAAGTGTCTGGTGCACTTGGGAGCCGCTGGCACCATCTGCCAACACAGGGGCATCCTTACCATGTCTCAGACCCGGGAATTCTGACCGAATGGTCGCAGCCATGGCTGTGTGGTCATAGGTCTTCAGGGTACGGACGGACTCATAATAGGTGGACGGCATGAAGTCAGCTTTAGTGTAACTGAAGAAGGTGACATCTCGGTCACGTGCAGCGCGGTTCTGCCCTCCTCTATGAAGCACCCGGTCATCAAAAATCAGTATGGAACCTGCATCCATGGTGGCCGCGATCGGTTCTTCGGATGAACCAATCATCTGTGGAGAGTTGCTTTCAGATTGGTAAAGGATCTCTGTGCCAAACTGCGCTGAATCCTTTAAATGGTTGGTCAACAAGTGCGAACCAGGCACTAGCTCAGTGGGTCCCATCTCGCTGGTGACGCTGCCCGATGGCACCAAAACATTCAACAAATGTGGACCTTGATGTTCAGGTACACTGTGCGGTGAGTCAGCGTGCCAGATTTGTGCCTCTGATTTCGGTTGAGCTCGAACCAAACCAGCGAAGGCTCTACCGGGTATACCCAGATCTTGTGCCCTGCCAGCTTCAGCTGAGGACTTCGTGTCGGCAAGAACTTTGCTTGCGATGCTCTCAATTCTTTCCAGGAGTTCTGATGGAAACTCCTTGAACTCACAAGGGATGTCATACCGGCCAGGCGATCGCAAACAAACTTCGCGGAACCCAGCACGACTGCCTATCCCCAGGGAGACGCGCTTACTCCTTAATGTGCTCATGATTTCTTCGGCCTTAGAAGTGGCGGGTGCTGTCAAAGTCTTCAACTCCTCTGCATCAAACAAATTCTTCAATATGACAAAGCCATGCTTTGAGATGCTCTCCGCAGCCAAAGCCTGATGGTTGGCTTCGCTGGCTCGTACTATCCATGGAGCTTCCTGGCTCGTACTATCGGCGAAGGGGCGCTTCTGAACAGTACAGAAGCGAAAATGCAAGCCCGGCAAGGTCCCACTCAAGCCAGAGCAAGCAGCTCGTCTAAGCCATGATGGGGCTGGCATGCTGGTCGTGGTAAGGACTGTCCTGTGGTTGTCAGGTGTCATTTGCAGGTGTAGACCAAAGCTTGGCCTACTGGGAGTTTGGAGTAATTATATAAGTTCATTGCATCCAAGCTCTGTTTTGAGCATTTGGAGATTCAATCGCAGTTCTAGTCTTTAGAGTTGGTTTAGCGTGCTTGTAGGAGAGGCCCATGCAACTGAATTTATAGGAATGAGTTCTTCAATGTTCTTCATAGTTATTCTCCTGTTCCATGAGAATGGCTTCAGATCGGGCACAAGCTTTTGCGCCCCACACAAGGCTGGCGGTACTGCACGTCTGCAACTCCCAAGCAAACAAGGCGTTTGTTTCCAAACTGTCGTCCCTGCACACGAGCCGATCGAACAAACAAGGCCTTCATGATCTGCTTCATTTGAGCCTTGACATGACACCACTGCCGCAGACCGACGAAAGTGGAAGGACGCAATGGACAGCAATGACGAGCGATGCAGTCTGCAAGCTCCCAGTGCAGCAAAGCGGCCATCAACATCTCTCGTTTTTGATCTTTGGACATTCCGCCTTCAACCTCTCCATAGTGGGGGTGCACCAACAGCGCATAAGAATAGAAATGAATAGAAATGATTAAAAACCTGTCCCCAGATTCCGAGATATCCCACAGTCCTCAGTCTTGAGCTTTGACTGCACTCGAGTGAGGTCCAAATCCTTTTGAACAAGTTCGTCGACCTGCAATGTACCAAGATTCCAGCTCTGAACGGCCTGACAACCTTGGGCATTATATAGATTATATTATATTAGATTCACAACTTTGAGCACTCGGTGAGTCTTAAACTTTAAACTCACTTGGATTCTACAACTTTGAGCATTGTAGCTCACAAATGCTCACAACCGTCGACTTTGCAGAATCCCATCGCTCAGCCGCACCAGCTTTAGGCGCTTGAGCATGTCCTGCTCACGCAGAATTGCCTCCGGACTGAGAGTTGCACGATTGCCAATGACCAAGAGATTATTTATCAACTAAACTTTGCGTTTACAACATGCGTTAATGTTGATCATTCAGGACCTTTAGCCACTGCTGAATAATAAAACTGTGCTCATCATTTGGCACACTAGGCATTTTTCCGTCATGAACCTCCAAATCGCCTGCAAATCTGCCCGAGCACCAGAAGACATTCCAGCAACCTCTGCCCAAGAAAACATGAGAAAGTATCAGAAAGTAACAAAAAGACTCCAGAAATGCATGTTCAAGCGATGCGTGGTTGCATCTCGTGCTGGGCAAGGCATGGCTGGGGCACCCGCCAAATCCGTCAATTTCAGCGGGTCGCTTCGGTCAAAGAACCTCAAGTCAAAGACTTATATATATATATATATTTGGCCGAAGGTTTATTTCGCATATTGCGCATATATATATATATGTATGTTATATATATATATAACTTACTGTTTCGCAGTGTTTGCTGGTGAACTGATGGTGACCCCCATGTCCCTCCAACTGGGATCAAAGCTTGCTCACCTGATCGTGCTGCTCCTCCAAAGGCTCCCAGATTCGATACAACCCTGATGACCGCTATTCAAAATAAACTCATTGACGATTTTGATGTCCTTGTACAGAACTGACGTTGCAAGGAGCTCGTTCAGCTTGCCATTGATGCTTCCGATAACTCCCTGCGCGCATCTTGGCAGCTTGAGCACAATGTCCGTGACATTGCTGTGAAGTGGGGTTAAGCGTGGTTGTAACATTGGCAGCTATTGGCAGAATGCTTTTCAGTGGTTTTTCCGCAAGGACGGAGGTGCCTGGACCAATTCGATCATGCAAAAGAGGTCACACACACAAGCCCGCGCTTGAATGAAACCACATGTTTACAGAATCTCTGGTTTTCTTTTCAAAGAACAAGTCCCGATATGTCCAGAGAATGGACATTATTAAGTTAAGCAATCGATAACAATTGGAATAATCACTCCTGCCTACTTTCCCACAACTCAAGCAGCATGAGACAGTGAGAGAAGCACAAAGGAAGGATCACCACAGGCAAACGGCACTGCGCCTCCATTTCTTTCGTTCCTTCGTCGTCTTTCGGCATGCTCGGGGCCTCCAGGTACCTTATTGCTCCGTTTGTAGCGATGCCTTTTGCTCCTAGTAGCTTCTTGTTCCTAGTAGCTTCTTGTTACTACTAGTAAGGCACTTGTTACTAGAAGCGATGCACTTGTTCCTAATGGCTTCTTGTTCCTAGTAGTAAGGCCAGGAGCCCCTAGTAGCGTCCTTGCTCCTAGTAGTAAGGCCAGGAGGCCGTAGTGGCTTCTTGTTCCTAGTAGTAAGGCCAGGAGCCCCTAGTAGCGTCCTTGCTCCTAGTAGTAAGGCCAGGAGGCCGTAGTGGCTTCTTGTTACTAGTAGAAAGGCCAGGAGCCCCTAGTAGCGTCCTTGCTCCTAGTAGTAAGGCCAGGAGCCCGTAGTACGGCTTTTCGGCATCGTTCAGTATGGGAAGATTCAATCTCCTCCGCTGCTGCGGACACCAGTTTCTTCATCGGGGTCATGGCACCGCAAAACCAGAGTAGATTGTCCAAACCAATCTAAGAGCTTCTCTTACTATTCTGCATGCTATCCAAGGACTGACTATCTCAAAGCATTAGCGCTACCCAAAATCCGGAACCAGGGGCCAAATAATGCCATGAGCTTCCCCTGCGTTTGTCACCTGGGCCGCTAGGTTGTAACAAACACATCAACAAGGTTTGCACCAACTCAACAGCATCCGCTGAGTCTGCTGGCCACACCTCATCCCCAGCAGCTGAGCTCGGGTGTGCTGTGTCACATCCAAAGCTTTGTCATTTCATGCCATTTCTCAGTTTTGGAGAAGATTGAAGAGAGTTCGGGATGTGGCCACATCGACTTTTCAAGGCTTATCATCTTTCCCGCCGCCGGAGAACAGGGTCTGCGGCCGCTGCTCATGTCCCAATTCGATCGATGACATGACGCGCGATTCTGGGGCACTCAATGGCCACCACAGGCAAAGGCACCTGGCCGTCATGCCACGATGGGATCAAAAACAAAATGCATTCAAACTGGACATGTCAGGCCAAGATGTCTGGATTTGCCTTCACATTCCACATGGCCCATTGTGGTCCATCCATATTCTTCATCCAACTGTTCACATCGTTGTCCCATGACCAAGATCAACTTTTGAACAAGGAAGCGCATGAAACACGCGCGGGCTCGACGCTGGGAGCAACACCAGACCTGAAGCGTCAAAGAACCCAGCTAGCTCTTTGCTATCACATCGCCCAATCATGGCAGGTGTCATGTGCCGCATGTGGAGAGGGGACGGCGTGGCTGCTTGGGAGTGTGGGATGATGAACGATTTGGAGAAGATTCATGCAATCAAGAAACGATGACGGCCATGACGCTGGCATGAGGACAATGACGCTGCCCAGGACTGTTTTCAACTGTTGCGATGCTGAGACTTGGTCGCAAACACCGTCCGCTTCATTTGTACTCGCCGGTGTGGGATGACGGTGATGTGGCCTCCATCGATGTTTGGGTACCTCTCAACATGGAGAAGCTACCCTGCGAAGCTGCCGGGCAAAGCCAGAAAAATCCAAACCCGAAACTTACCTATATGGATCTATACGGTTTGCACATTTAGGTGCCACCCCGTGGTTAGGCCCCTCGGAGCTGTGTGGGACATCGACTCGGCTGACCGCTTCGGAGCACACGACCAAATTCACCACCTGGAGGATGGTTCCCACCTCCTCCAGCTCTGCAACACCTGAGCAACAGATCTCAGCTTCTTCCTCTTCTTCTTTTTGTACTCATTATTGCTATTCCTTTTTTTGGAGGGGGGTTAGGCCGCTACTAGAGGTAGCTAGCGGGCGCCTACTCAATTAAGTAAGTGAGGTAACTAGTAAGTACAGGACGCTCCTAGGTAGGACGGGCCGCTACTAGAGGTAGCTAGTAGTAGCTAGAGACGTAGCTAGTAGGAGCTAGGGAGTCGCTAGTAGGTACAAGAACGCTCCTACATATTATGCAGGATAGCTCAGGCTTCTTCAAGGAAGCTCCGCCCACCGCCCTAAAGATCCTAAAGGCGGCGCGGGGGGAGCTTCCTTGAAGAAGCGCTCGCACTAATCATTCAATAAATCTATTTAAAAACCATATATAATATATATATATATATCTGACGCCTTTGTCTTTTAGTTCTCACTTTCTTCTTTTCCACGCCAGGGACCAAACTCTCAACCATCCCAGCATCCCGCCGAAGTCTGGAACTTGACTTGGCCTCACCGTGATTCGAAGGTGGTGTCATGTGTGTCTGGGAAGGACTCATGGCCATTGCTTTGACCAGCGGCAGATTGCTCCGAATCAGCATCATCACGAACCTGTACGCAACCAGCGGGTGGTGCAAGAAGTGCACGATGAAACACCATCGCGGGTCAATGAACAAGCCTTGCTTGCGGCAACCTGAGTCTTGGTCAAGAAGCCACCCAAGTACTGGCCTTGCTGGTTCCTCAATGACAGCATTCAGTACATCATCCGAGTACCCGAGTAAACCTTGCTGTGCCTGTCTGATTTGGAGTGACACCTTCCAAAAACGTTTGAGCACTTGTCCAACTCAGGGACACCATCTCAAGAGTTTGGAGCTCTGTTGAAGTGTGATTCAATTCTTTCCGTTGCTTCTTGTCCATATGGACGGGACCACTCGACTCAACACCGCAAAGCAGCGAAGCACAGCTTGCCAAGCACCCAGCTTTCGCAGCGAAACCAAGAAATCCAGGACAGCGGTATCTCCAACCTCTCTCAAGAGGGGTAGGCGATCCCCATTTGATAGAGGACATGTCTTACGGGCACCCAAAACTCCCCATGGTCTGATGGACAATCAGACTTAATTAGCTCATGTCCAGTGACCAATTGGCGCAACAGCATGCAGTGAACCAAGTACCGGCCATGACATGTGAACTGCATGCTGAACCACTGCCTGAATCACCTGATAGAACCCGGGAAAAGCAGGCTTGCGGAACAAAGGCAGGACAAACCTCAGGGCGTACA